AATTATGAAGAAATAGAGAAAAATCTAAACTTATCTATCATGTGTATGTATTTATAATTACTAGTCTGTTGCACGTGTATCCCATATGAATTAGTATAAACTTTTAAAATATATAGATAATATCAAAACATATGTAAGTACAGAGTAATTGAAATTTGAAAGGAAAGTACAATAGTATGTAGTTACACACGATCAATTGAATTGGTAGAACCTTTTTCTTATGCAATTCTAATATATCAAAAATTCGGTGTGACATTTTTTTTTTTGATATTTCAACAACACATAGTATAGATGTGAATATGAGTAACGTCATCTATGTTTATAAATGCTTCATGTCTTAAATTTTGCATCTAGTCTTTAAGAAATTGTAGCCTCCTTTTTACGATCACATACCTAGTATTTTATAAAAGTTGTACAAAAATTTGACCAAACATACATCTTCTTTAAGGTGTCTAGTATATCATTATCAGTTTCATGGTGTTCACTTTGGAAAAAAATAGTAGCAATGATAGAGATATTTAATAATCATATTACTGATATTAGAAAATTTAATCGATCTATAAAAATAATAAATTGCATGTACAAGTATCCATTGTTTGATTCGATTAGGAACATTTGTCTTATTTTGATAGAAGAATATGAGTTGAATTGTTTAAACGCAAAGTAACAGTGACTGCGGTGACAATCACACTCACCGACTTAAAATCCTAGATTTGTGCAATCGCCTTGCTAGATAATGAAATTTGAGGACAAATAGCAAACAACTTGAATAGTTGATGTATTGGAGGTGTTCATCCCATATAGAATTTTTCATAAGTAGGAAATAATAAAGACACACTAAAATCATACTAATTTTTTGACACGCGCGTTGCACGTGTATGTCAAAACTTGTAGTGTACGGTATTGTAAAATTATCAATGTTATTAAAACAAAACTTTAAATAAATCATTACGCATGAAAAAAAATAAAATACAAGTTTCTGTTAATGTAATGATGTCGTCATACAGTAACGTGTTTGTTGAGGTTAAAATGATTGGATACTATCTCGCGCTAACAAGAATTTGATATAAACTGTTCAAATATGTGAAAGTTGTTTAAAAATAATAGATGTAAATATCTACAAAAAGTATCCAAACGATTTCTCAAAGAACTTATAAGTATGTATTGCATCTTAAGTCTATATGTATATATTTCTCAAAAGTTTCATACATATACATAGAGAAAATGCATAAAGATCCCATTAAACTTGTTCGAAAAAATTATTTACACACCTTAACTTTACGGGTGTCCTAACAGTCTAACACCCCCACTATTCTTATCTAGACTAAATTTAATACCTCCTTCAAAATACTGAACCAGTCTTATGGTGGGCTGTGTTTAACACGCGCCATGTATTAAATACTGCACTATTTTAATTTATTTATTTTTTTACTTTTTCCACTCTTTTTTTCATTTCATCTTCTCCACCATCTTTCATCATTATTCTTGCAGCCCGCCACCATGGAAGGCAGTCACAACCATAACCTCCCTTAAACGCATAAACTATATCTCTGAAAAATCAAAACCACCTCCCCCTACCACTCCACTTTAACACCTCTAATTTGACCATTTTTTCCTTCACATCAATCTCACACACCCAGATGGAAGAGTTGGAGAGAAAATTCCTTGTATGAAAAATGGTATTGGCGAACATCAAGCTCTCCAATCAAGTATTATAATTATTCCAACCTAAATTCATGACCCAATTGCTTAAGAGAACTTATGTTTCTATCAAATTGAGGAGATTAATGAGCAATGAAATGAAGTTTGTAAAGGTAGGTGAATATGGCGGGCGAAAAAGAGGAATGTGAATAGAGATTCAAAAATAAAAACAAAGAAGCAAAAAATAAAACATGACTAGTTTCAAAGCATGGGGAGGAAGAGGATGGCACTAGATGATAATGACGGGCCAGTGGAGAACCATGGTTTTGTTAAAATGAAGAAAGAGAAAAAGAAACGAAAAAGAAAAGAAAAATGAATAAGAAAAGAGAAAAAATTAGTATTAAGTTTAATTAGTTAGAGTATCCAATAGGAAGTGACACCTAGACAATTAAATTAGTTGTAAGTTGTTTTTTGTGCCTCACGCGCATCTTGGAAATGAACTGCACTTTTCATGCCAGGTCATCACTCAATGGGGTATTAAATTAACTTAAGATTAGAATAAGGAGGTAAAAGGTCACCCGTAAAGTTTAGGTGTGTAAATGATTTTTCCTAACAAGTTTAATGGGTACTTTATGCATTTTCTCTATATATATATCACCATCTCCGTACAAATTCATTATATATTTCTATAAAAACAATTTAAAAGAAAATGCTCCTGAACATGATTAACCTTCATGTAATTATAATATTACTATTTCATATTTATTATATAAAATGTTTAATGTGATTACCTTCACTTAAAATTAATTAATTACAGGGGCAAAATTGTAATCCAACTTAGAAGGTAGGAGCTTTCCATTTTTAGTATGATTAGTTTCTGAACACGTGTGATGCACGTGTATTCCATGTTATTTTTGTAAAACTACATACGTTAAGTGACCAAATCTCAAATTCAAAATGATTGAGTAATCACATTATCTTTAATTTATGAGGTGAAATACGTCACTTGGTTTTCAAGATCTTCTCAATTTCTTTTGTGGGTGTAGTTAGGGGAAGAAAGTTGATATAAGGTTATGTTATTATTTCGGAAGTAAGAAAACTAAAGTGAAAAAAAAAAAAATTCAGTAAGTCATTGGCAAACTAAACATACAATTCTAAGTACGGAAAAGGCCTAAAAATGCCACTCAATTTTCAGAAATGGTCTATTCATGCCATCCGTTAAAAAAATGCTCATTTCATGCCACTGCCGTTAAAGAAATGGCCCATCCATGCCATTATTGACGCAGTGACATGGATGGGCCAAATAAAAATTGAGTCGTTAGTCAATAATGGCATGGATGAGCCGTTAGTCAATAATGGCATGGACGGGCCATTTCTTTAACGGCAGTGACATAGAAATAACAATTTTTTAACGGATGACATGGATAAACCATTTCTGAAAGTTGAGTGGCATTTTTAGGCCTTTAATACTGAAAAAAATTCTGCCTTTGTGCTATATACATTAACTTATAGAAAATCTCCACGTGCATATATTCCATAAACTTCAATTAGAAAGTTCATATATGAGAGGGTTATAATGACAAGAGTTTTGAATTTAAAATATATCCCATATGGTATCAAATTAACCATAAGATAGATGTATATGTGGAGGCCTTTTTTGGCAATGCCAAACTACATAATCAAATAAGAAATTATCCTAGAAAAAGAATTTCAAAACCTGAGCCTAAGAAAATACATTCGACTTAGAAAGACGCCTATCCCATTTATATTGATGTACGTCACGGTAAGGCTGGTAGAGAGGTATATCCAATTGTCTACAAAACCATCACATGAATTGATTTTTTCCACCAAAATAAAAATGTCATAATCATAAACTTGTTGAAGCAAAACTTTATCAACTTATGTGCGAGAACAAACTCTTAAACAATAATTAAACAAAATAATTTATACGATAAGTAAGAAGCAAGAAGCAAAAACAAAAATCACCCAAAAGCAACAATTTAACTCAAACAAATCCTCACAAAGTAGCTAGAAAAGATTTAAGGCACTCAACCAATGTTAAAGAGTTCATTCACGCCGCAGAGGAGAACATAGTGAATTTCTTGCTCACTTTTTACATAATACTTATATATTTGTATTGTTTTGAATCAGTTGAAAACAAACAATGTGATACTAATAAAAAAAAGTTTAATAATCATGGAAATTTACCAAATACATCCGCCTTTGAAGGGACAACAATGATGATCAATTTAAATTAATAAAAAGCAAAGAATTTTGAATGATTGAATTGAATTTGGTCGAGAAAATAAAAAAATTAACATTCATTGACGTCTTCGACAAATAGATCTCTGCTTTCTCATAATCTCTTGATACCAGCAATGATCAGATTTGTAGCTGAAATGTATGCAATATCACCAAATATATTGAATCATATTTCCTTGATATTACTTGTTCATGAAAGTAAGGAAATTGAAAATTTTGTTAGCTATCTGAGTAGTAGAACATTAATCTTTTTGATCCTACTATTGTGTAGAAATTGAAAGAAAAGACAGAGAAAATTTTCTGTATTGATGTGTATTTGCTGTGTACAGTGCATGTGTTTATATACAAGCTAAAAGGAATCTAAGAAATAACCACCTATACATGTGTCACTATTTTATTTGTATATCTGTAACTAACATAGGAATATAAATACAAAGAATAAAAAATAAATATAACAGTTGTACAATATGTTCTTCTAGAAACTTCACTTTTCCGTGTTGAATAGGGCTCAATTGTATAGAGATAACAAGGCCCAAATATAGAGACCCATAAGTGAATTAAGCCATTCAAACAATTGGACCGGGTATGAGTATTTATCCACACATTGAATAAAAGAGTTTGATTCTTCGTACCAAACCTCAACCTTAAACTTAGCCGACCAAACTTAGCCACCTTTAGGGTTCCTTTGTAAATGTCGATCTTCACCGGAAACACCATTTTTCAGTCCAACACCCCCCCCCCCAAGTTGGAGGGGGATGAAAGAACACCCAACTTGCCCAACAAATTTTGATGATGAGGCCCATTGAGAGATTTTGTGAAGAGATCTGCTAGTTGAGAGGAAGATCGAAGAAAAGAAAGAGAAATCAGGCTGGCGAGGAATTGTTGCTGCACAAAATGATAGTCAAGCTCCACCTATTTCGTTCGTTCATGAAACACTGGGTTTTTGGCGATATGGATAGCTGCTTGACTGTCGGAGTGACGGGGGACTGGAAGTGAAATTGGAATGGATAGATCTTCAAATAGACGAACTAACCAAGTAAGCTCGGCAACTACCCGTCTCATTGACCTATATTCTGCCTCGGCAGAACTGAGAGAAATCAAAGTCCGCTTCTTTGACTTCCAAGATATTGGAGAAGAACCAAGTGAGATATAGTAACCACTGACTGAACGACGAGAATCAGCACAGGATCCCCAGTCGGAATCACAGAAAACCAATAGTTCAAAGAGGAAGAAGCACTCATGAACAACCCTAGCCCAGGATCTTTCAACAAATAATGAAGAACATGAAGAGCAGCATCAAGATGGGGATTTCTGGGATCCTGCATATACTGGCCCAGGTGCTGCACAATGAAGGAAAGGTCCGGCCGTGTATTTGTTAGATAATTGAGCTTGCCGAGAAGGTTCCTGTAAAGGGTTGGATCAGAAAGAGGGGCACCAGTCTTTGCATGCAATTTGACAGTTGGATCTAGAGGTGAAGCAACAGGAGTGAGATGCAGTGAGTCAAATTCACTCAATAGATCCAAGGTGAACTTTCCTTGAGAAAGAATTAGCCCCTGTGGTTCATGAACAACCTCCATCCCTAATAAAAAAATGTAAGCTTCCAAGATCTTTTATTCGAAATTCTTAGTTCAGAAAGTCTTTTAATGCATTCAACTCGTCAGCATCATTTCCTGTTAATATTATGTCATCTACATAGACTGCCACAATAGAGATAGAGGAATCCGATTTTTTGAAAAAAAGAGAGTAATCATTTAAAGAGTGAGAGAAACCCTTGAAGTTGAGAGCAGTAGTGAGCTTAGCATACCACTGTCGAGATGCTTGACGAAGTCCATAAAGGGACTTTTTCAGTAGATAAACCTGTGTAGGTGAGGGAGGAGTAACTCCGGGAGAAAATTTCATATAAATCTCCTCGTTTAAATCACCATGCAAAAATGCATTATTCACATCTAATTGAAAGATTCCCCATCCTTTTTAACTGCTGAAGCCAAAATACACCTAATTGTGGTCGTCTTGACCACAGGTGAAAATGTTTCATTAAAATCAATACCTTCCTTTTGAATGTCCCCATAGATGACTAGTTTGGCCTTCAATCTTTCAACACTCCCATCTGAGTGTTGTTTAACTTTATAAACCCATTTACTGGGTAATGCCTTCTTTCCTGGAGGTAAATCAACCACCTCCCAAGTCTTATTAAGCTCAAGTGCCTCAATTTCTTTGGCCATGGCCTCTTGCCAACCTGGATGATGAGCTGTCTGTACATAGCTGCTAGGTTTACAAATATTAGACAAGGAGTTGAGCATATGCTGATTAGAAGTGGACAAACCACTGAAAGAAAGGAAATTAGGGGTAACTGGAGTGAGAAAACAAGCAGAACTCACATCAGTGAGTTGTAGAGCATTACAAATGTAGTCCTTTAAGTAGGAAGGTGTTTTGTAAGTTATAGTTGACCTCCTAAGGAAATCAACTATCATAGGTTCTGTTGATGGTGAGGAGATCCCCCTATAGGGCTGTTTGGTTGGGAAAGGGAGCCTGAAGATCTGCTAGAGGGACTTGCAGATTGAGTATAGGGAGAGAGTCTAGATGGTGTAGGAGTCCTTGGTTCAGGTGCTTGTGGTGTGGAGACAGAAGTGTTGTATATTGAAGAAGGCTGTCTAACTGGTTGGTCTGGGACAAATAGGTGCTCCTTAGGTTGGATAGAAAAGGGTAGAAAGGAAGTATCAGAAATAGGAGAATTGATAGAGGCAAAGGGAAAGTACTCTTCATGAAACACCACATCCCTTGAAACAAAAGGTTTAAGAGTCTTAAGATTAAGGACCTTATACCCCTTCTTGCCATGTGGATAACCAAGAAACACACAAGAAACTGCTCTAGATTCAAATTTGGCTCTATGATTTGAGAGAGTAGAGACAAAACATAAGCACCCCAAACATTTAAGATAGGAATAGTTTGGTTTGGAGTTGAACAGAATCTCATAAGGGGTCTTTAAATTTAAAATTCTAGAAGGAAATCTGTTAATCAAATGAGTAGTTGTTAAAAGGCAATCCCCCCCAATATGAGATAGGTAAGTGAGATTGAAACAATAAGGCTCTTGAGGTTTCCAAAAGGTGTTTATACTTTCTCTCCACAATTCCATTTTGTTGTGGAGTAGAGACACAAGTGATTTGATGTATGATTCCTTCAGTAAGTAAGAAGTCAGCCTGTAATTTCTCACTCCCAAGTTCAAAAGCATTGTCTGATCTAATTATTTTTACCTTGGTGTGAAACTGTCTTTCTACCATGGCTAGAAAGGATTTTAAAACAGTGAAGGCATTGGAGTTGGTACTTAATAAATAAGTCCATGTACTTCTACTAAAGTCATCAACAATGGTAAGAAAATATTTGAAACCATCATAAGTACAATTTTTATAGGGACCCCAAGTGTCCACATGAATCAATTCATACACATGTTTAGTAGAAATGGAACTTGAGGGGAAAGAAAGTTTAGACTATCTGCCATAGGACAAATAACACAAGGAGTAGAAAACTTAGAACATGAAGGAACAGTTGAACATGGAATATTCTTCATATGACTTAAAGGCATATGGCCTAATCTATAATGCCATAGCTTTTCTTTTATATTAGGATCAGAAAAAGTAAAACAGGATTCGGAAATAGCACTAGGCTTTGATTTCTTGCTAGAAACTAAACTACTAGTAGACTTAGAAAAACTCTTGGAAACTTCTGCAGGCTGCCTTGAGTGAAGGAAGTAGAGGCCTCCATTCTCCTTACCAATCTCCAGATGGCTCTTCAGTGAAGGGCCCTGCAGCATAAAACAAGAAAAATGAGTGAAAAGGATGTACTTCTGAAGCTGTTTACTTATGTACAGACAGAAGATTAAACCTGAAAGAAGGTATATATATAATACATTCTGCAACACCAAATTAGGTAGAAGAATAACTGAACCAAAATGAGTGACTCTAACTCTACAAGAATTAGGGAGATTAACCATTAATGGTTTGGGCAAGATTTTAAAATCTGAAAAGAAACTTTTATTGAAAGTCATATGCTCAGTAGCTCCACTGTCTATTATCCCTGACCCATTACTTATATTCATGAAACAGGCATATGAGTTGAAGAATTTAGAGATACCAGGACAATTCACACTAGCCGAGGCATCAGATGTCCCTGCACTTGCTGATTGAGGTTTACTTGCTGCAGTAACTGAAGCAGCTGTGTGACATTCTCCTGAGTAAGTGCCTTTATGTCTGAAACACTGTCTGCTCCTTTTCCACCCTCTTCTGCCATGGTGAAGGCATTGTTTGCCTGTGGAATTACCTGATTCCTCCTCTGTTTAGTAAACTTAAAATCTATTGGAAAACCATGAATCCTGTAGCATTTATCAATGTTATGCCCAGGTTTCTTACAATAGGCACAAATACTGGTGTTTTTCCTTGCATCAAAACCTACCTTCTGTGCTTTATAATCGTTGATTCTCCTTCCCCTTGTTCCCTGATTAGCAGCAATGAGAGAGGTTGTCTCTCTTGGATAAGCAGGTGTGGCATGTATCTCTCTCTGTTTTTCATCCCGAATAACAAGAGAATAAGCATGTCCAATAGAGGATAAGGGAGATGACAGCATGTGAGCATGTGATTTTTGCCTCGCTTAAATTACTCCTATAAAATTCCTTAGAATTAGAATTTTTCTTTTAGTATTTGAATTTTTAGGAATTAATTGCATGATTTTGTATTTTGTTTGCATTTTGTGTGCATTTTTAGGTGTCATAAAAAATAAAAATTACAAAAAATAGCACACTCGTATTTAGGACCTAATTCTAGATTTTTATATTAATTAAACATCATTTAAAATAAGAGAAAAATAACAAAAATGGTCTTTTTACAATCTTAAATTTTACATTTTACTTTTTTTTTATTTGATTTAGTTTTCTCTTAAATTAGGAATTAGTTAATTAGTGGATTTAATTTGGGTCTTTTATTTTACACAATAAAATCAGAAAATTTGAAAAAATAATAAATAACATATATATAAGTAAAATACACAAAAAAGGAATAAATGAGAAAACGGGCAGTCATTTTTTTGGGGCCATTATTCACAATATTCGGCTAGTCCAATTGAAATAATGTGCCAACCCACACCCGTCTAGCCCAATCCGCACCCATGCCAGGTCCAGACCCCCCTTGCAATAAAACGACGTCGTTTTAATTCCATAAGATCTAAGCCGTCGATGTTACTTGATCCAACGGACGGGAAACCCCCATGCATTAATATATAAGTGTCCTAAAAACTACCACCCCCCCAGACCCCCTACCTATCGTCTCTCTCATTCTAACCCTAGAGACAGAACCCCACCGTCCCTCCGCCGCCCGCCGCCGCCGGAAATCGCCTACGCCGGCGGCCGGTCTCCAATGACTACCAAATTATACCAAAATACTCCCCTTGTAACGACCCGGCCGGCCGTTTTTGGAAATTACGCCCCGATCCCCCATTAACTATTTCCACTAAGTTCATTTCTGCTATTTTGGTTTGCCGGGACGTTCGGTGTTGAGTTTTGGAGAGTTTTGGGACACTTAGTCCCTAAATGAGAGCTTAAGAGTTGAAAAATGGTCCGTAATCAGAATAGTGTGAAGACGACCTCGGAATGGAAATCCGATGGTTCCGTTAGCTCCGTTAGGTGATTTCGGGGTTGGGAGCGTGTTCGGAATGTATTTGGAGGCTCGTAGCTCATTTAGGCTTGAAATGCCGAAGTCTGAATTTTTGAAGTTTCCGGTCCGATAGTGAGTTTTTGATCCGAGAGTCGAATTGGAATTCTGGAATTTGCAGTAGTTCCGTCATGTCATTTGGGATGTGTGTGCAAAATTTCAGGTCATTCGGACGAGGTTCGGGTAGGTTTTTGATCGAAAGCGTGTTTGGTTGGAATTTGAAGTTCTTAGGCTTGAATCCTTGATTAATTCGTGTTTCCGGCGTTGTTTTAGGTGGTTTAAGGATTGGTACAAGTTTGAATGATGTTATGGGATATGTCCGTAGGTTTGGTTGAGGTCCCGGGGGCCTCGGGTGTGTTCCGGGTGCTCAACGGAGCACTTTGGAGTTGGAAAATATTGTAGGAAACTGAACTCAGCTGTTGCAGACTTTTTCTCTTCGCGATCGCGGCCTCCCTCTCGCGTTCGCATAGTGTAATCTTGGAGGGAGACCAGTTTCTTCATCGCGTTCGCATAAACTTCACCGCGTTCGCGTACCTATGCCAGTCAGTTCTTCGCGTTCGCGAACCCTTGCACGCGTTCGCGTAGGACAATTTCTGGACCTCAGCATTTTTCCTTAATCGCGATCGCGTTACAGGCCACGCGTTCGCGTAGCTTTAAAAATCCCAGGCCTTTGCGTTCGCATCCTACTCCTCGCTATCGCGAAGAGCATATTTGACATCTTCCATCTTTCTTCTCCGCGAACGCGATCTAATCTCCGCGTTCGCGATGCATTGAGTGTCTGGACAGTATTTAACATTTCAAAAACGAGGGTTAGCCATTTTTAACAAAACTCAAGCAGGATGCCAAGAGATCCCTGGCATATTATTGAGGATACGAAGAGA